ATCTTATTTTGCACGTCTCTTCTACGGCTGCACAATATCAGGTGACTTGGAAGTAGTTCTTTCTGTACAAGATCAGTCTGACAAAGGATTACAAATAACTTTGTTAAGTTTAATAGAGCAAAAAACATTGGATTGCTGGCAAAAACATTTACTTGCAGCTCACTTTGTTCGTTTTAACAAGGTCAGATTACCAGTTTCAGAAAGGAAGTTGCTGTTGACATTTGGTGAAGGAGGGCTGGTAAAGTATGTAAGTTTCGTAAACCTGACAGAGTCAAGTTAATTTTGTACTTTTTGGTAGCTTCATAATATAATTATGTAGAACAATATGAGCTTGAATTGACGTGGATATTATCACATATTCCTAGTTCCAGTCTCTCAGTGTACATAACTGACTTGGATATTGTCACATATTCCTAGTTCCAGTCTCTCCATGTACATAACTGACCTGGATATTGTCACATATTCCTAGTTCCTGTATCTCAGTGTGCATAACTGACTTGGATATTGTCACATATTCCTAGTTCCTGTATCTCAATGTACATATACATAACTGACTTGCATATTGTCACATATTCTTAGTTCAAATAATCACTGAGAGACAGGAACTAGGAATATCAAATAATTCACTGAGAGACTGAAACTAAGATTGTGTGACAATATCGAAGTCAGTGATGTACATTGAGAGACTGAAACTAAGATTGCGTGACAATATCCAAGTCAGTTATGTACATGGAGAGACAGGAACTAGGAATATATGACAATATCCAAGTCAGCTATGTACATGGAGAGACTGGAACTAGGAATATGTGACAATATCCAGGTCAGTTACGTACATGGAGAGACAGGAACTAGGAATATGTGACAATATCCTGTCTCATCATGTAGATCACTGACTTAGATATTCTGTCACATGTGAACAACACGGTTAAATAAGGAGATGACCATTTATTTAATTCGTCATGTAAAAACACTCAATCATTCCAAAAGGTGCATGGTAGCAAGTAGAGGACATTTATTTTCACTCACCAGTGACAATGAGGTCAAATGTATTTCCCGATTTTGAAAACATAAGCTCAACAGGTGGTATCATCACTTTTTGATGTTTATTATATAGTCAGAATCGTTGCCTGTGGTATATGTTGAATAGTGATGATTTGTCATGGGGTTCAAAGCCCACATTCGACCTTTTCATGATCCTTGGTCTATCAGTCCCATCCACATTCGTAAACGTCGTGGGACCCCTGAATATGTTGCTGACAAGCAGTGATTTAGCTGAAATTACAACTCCCTGAATTAACCCTACCGATAACTCTCAAAGGTTAAAATGACAAGAACACATTGCGCTATACAGAAACACACCTTTCAAGTCAAACTATTTAAAAAAAACAGCCATAACTCACAACGAATAATCATCTCAGTTACTGTCGCGCAAATTGTGCTTACAGATCTGAGCGAGAACGCGACCATGTATAACACAGTCAAGGGAATGATCGGCAAACATAACTTGTGTTATCAAAAATATACAGCCACAGAGGCAGACCAATACATCATTTTCCGATTTCAAATATAAAAAATGTAATATCCTTTAACCGAAGACATCACAACTCCGCAATAGTGAGATGCTTTCAATCATGAATTGGCAGCAATAGTAAAGTTATTACCATAGGGACCTTTGAACATTTGTATTTTCACTGATTCCAAAGCTTACCAGCGTGACGTATTTTTATATGATTTTCACGTTCCAATGAAGCACCCCATGGACCTAAGTGTTGATTTGCATTTAGATCTGATTCCTACTTTTCAAGACCCGAGGGACGAATTGCATGTACGGTCGATAGATATTCCGATATGTTGCACAGACCTCAAATTACTATCTAGTTTTCATGGAAGATTACATTTTATAGCGTTTATGCAGATTGTAGATGCTGGTGAAGATCCACAGACGATAGGAGGGTGTCCCAAGTAGGCAAGGATTTATCGATAGATCGGCCGCATTTAGTGACGTACTTTCTGAACACTTTCTTTCGTTTTAAGGACGCTCCACATGCATCAGTGAACCGATTGATTGACAAATTATTACATTAATTATGGATTTCATGCATTATACGCCTCGTTTAATTGGTTGTATGTTTTGGCTGATTAATTTCATGCTATGCATTTAATTGTTTCTAATTATAGTGCAATCGATGTATTTCAACGTATCACAAAGCTTTTGATCATCTATATCTTTGATTATTTGCTGTGCCACTCAGCAACATTCCAAAAATATGACTAGTTTTGGAAATATTCGAGTCTGGACTGGGCGTACCATGATAATAGTAATTATTGTGTACACTATTAGGATAATGGGAATGCTAATAATAATTCTAGTAAACAAAAGCCTGTTCATTATCATCAGAAATTCAATGTGGGAGAAGCCTGTGATTATGAATCAGGTGTTCGCGATGTTTAGTGTGTCCTGCCTCCCTATATCACAGACAAGAGCAAGTCAGTTGTTTAACTTTAAAAAACCCACAACACAGGAACATGTAGTGCAAGTGAAAATAGAGAACATCAGATATAATTGCTGTCACTGAGTTGGCACATTTAGAAATGTCCTCGACATGTTACCATCAAACATTAGAAGAAGCCCTAAATTCTGTAGTATTAATCAGACAACGTTTGAGCAAGAGTCGTATGACGCTCTTTGATGCTCAGTTTCTACCTCAAACGTTGTAAAATGTAGACACCAAAGGTTGGAGCTGCCTGATTATTGCTCGAAATAGAAGGAAAGTTGACCATTGGCAACACCCGAGAAGATCCGGGTTATAATTGGTCTTCGGCAACCCATGCTTGTCGTACGAGGTGACTAACGGGGTCGGGTTGTCAGGCTGGCTGACATGGTTGACACATGTCATCGTATCCCAATTGCGTAGATCGATGTTTCTGATGTTGATCACTGGATTGTCTGGTCCAGATTCAATTATTTACAGACCGCCGCCATATAGCTGGAATATTTCTAAGCGTGTCTTTAAAGAAAGAAAGAAAGAAAGAAACAAAACAACACAAACAAACTATTGGAATCTTGGAGTCATCCTCGTCATACAGTAGTATGCTCAGGAATCAGATCCGCAAGGAGGGACCACATCTGACGCATACAGTGAATCCATCTTCCTGCCTAAATACCATATCCACCCTAAACACATAGGTGATATCTATGAGGAATTCCAGCTTGTATTGTCTTTCATATCAATAAATGTCAAACGAAAGTTGTTTTTGCTTTTCACGAATTGTCCTGAGCAATTGAGCAACGATTCGCGCCATCGTGTGCGGTGAGCCGCGACCAGGTATCTGACGCTGTAAGTGGCCACTTACTACAGGATATGTTGCCCACTACCAAACAGAATCCCCAGCGGTTAATTGCATGAGCATCTAATGATGGGGAAAATACATGGCTTAGATGATCAACAACGTTATTACATTTCGTTATTACTGTATTACACTTCTCTATTATTCTTCACCCCACATGGGTACAATACATGAAGCCCATTTCTGTAGTTTCCCGCTGTGATACTGCTGGAATATTGCTAAAAGCGGCGTAAAACTAAACTCACTCACTATTCTTCTTCTCACACCTTGGTCACTTCATGGATAACATTGTTATTTTCTGATCCATGTTGACCACCCTTAATGTGTTCTCAATGGAAACGATTCTAAATATCACTTAAGACAGGATGCTCCTGATTATTGTCCCACCTATGTACATTTTCATACGCTTTGAAAGACATACCCTCCTATATTTAACTGAACATACGACTGCGGGACAATTACCTACAATTAAGTACAACGTGAAACTCATTTCTGGTGTCCCCAGCCAAGCAACAGCCGATCAGATCATCGACACCGATATAGTGTTATTAACACCCTATAGAAACACACATGAGGAGAAAGTGCCACGATGTTTGTGTCATCGAGGGTGAGCGAGACAAACAAATTCAGCTTTCATATGCGCAATGAATAATCTTTTCAGATTTATTTGCCTTTAATCGACATTTGTAGTATTGAAAGAATTAACCAGGGCGTATTGAAAGGAAATTGGTTTCGATCACCTATGACAACAGGTCTTGACAGCGGATGCTGTCATCCTCATTCGTTCAGAATATTGAGGAAACTTTGCTCCAAATCCTTCACACAGCGAAAATATCTTTCGGTCTAAACATCTTTAAAGTAAATTGTGCATCGATTGTATGAAGATATTTTCCGGAACATGGTATATACCTAGTACCAGGGATCCTTTGACGGTTGAAATGTCGGACCCGTTTTAGAATTAACATACTTTCGCATTTTATTGTGGGTGGGCAAGTTGTGTTTTACACACATTTGAACATAGACGCAGTTATTCCACTGCGTGACGGTTATGTCCAAAACGGTCACAGACGTTTAACACTTTGGCGAAACCAACGAGCTTGGTGAAGTGCTGCGCATGTCAGGCGACAGATTACAACCAGTACTGTCTGTTCGAGAGTATTATTCCAATCACAATACTGCTGGGTACCCATGTGCTGCTTTTTGTAATCAAACATAGATCTTTGGCGTGATGAGTCATTTAAGCACTGAGCACCCATCTCGTAAGATGTCTGTTTTGAGCATAGAAATTTCAGTGCTTTCAGTTACAATAAACTATTTATATCAATGTTTAATCTGCGTGGGTTAGGGGTAAGAATAGAGAGCCTAGTAAATGGGGACAGGTGGACAGATGCATGCCCTAGTCTACCAGGTTCGTGGAACGATGCTCATGATATCAGTCGTGGGTTGGTTTGGTCCAGGCTAAATGTTTCACAATTCATCCTCGTTTAGCGGGAATATTGCTGAATAAGCTAAACGGGCATATGATATATGAAGTTTGATATGTGATATGTGTGAGTGCCTATGCAAGATGTGACCTGTTCAAATAAAAGATGACGGATCTCCCATGAACTGATATAACTGCATTTTTTTAGAAAAATAACACAAACACAAACATTCATGTATTATGTATTCAATGTATTTTTGTTTTGGCTTATGTTACAGTTTGGACGCTGGGGAGCAATGCATTGACCACATATGACATAACAACCGTTTATTATGTTTTACACAAGCCCAGATTTCCTGAGAAATATATTACAACAGTGCGTCAATTAACGAAAAGAAAGAACATGAATATTGATTCAGAGAGAGTTATCCTGGGTCACCTATCCCCAATGAAGGCAATTCTGTTCGCTCACAGGCATCACATAACGATGCGTAACACACGTTTCTCACGTAATAAACACCACTGAATAACACTAGTACTGATGAGTGTTATCAGTGACATATCATCCTATTGACAACCTCCAACACATTTTACTTACATAATTGTCAGATGTACCAGTCGATGTGACGGCTGCTATAAACCATCAGTAAATCTGTCACCTAACAGCTCCCTCGATAAGTAACCAGGTTATAGTATAGGGCCCGTGAGACTGTGTTGTTCTAACTAATGTGACGACAATGAAAGTTGTAAATGGCAAATTTCGACAACTTATAGTTCTGCCACTGAAGCTGATTCAATTGCTGTTAGAAAAATACGTCCCCTTGGCGACGATCGGAACACGACATGGTTGTGGCTTGATCGCGATCTGAGGAACATGCGTTCGCTCAATATTAATCAAAACAGTACCCAATAAACGCGTGTTGGACGCTTGGTATTCGCGCCTTGGTCGCGACCGCCAAACCGTTTGTTGTAAGCAGTATATTCTGCAAGGCTGTGATGCGCTGCGATGGTGCATGGCTGGTCCATGGAAGAATCACCATAGTGGGTGTATTTACAGGACATAACCACCCACCACCCTAAATATCTCTCGACAGCAATTGGGTTTAGAGCCTATAAATGATTCATACTTAACTTTCCAAATTGTGAATTGGCATGAAATTCAAAATATCATGTAATGTTATGATGTTGTAGAGAATGGTTTTAACATGGTTTACGTGTGACGGTTTCATGAAGAGTCTCACGAAATAGGTGCGATAGAAGTTGAAGAAATCTCCTTGGAAAAGGTGTGTGTAAGTATGACATAATATGGCATTGTCGTAAACGAGACGTTGTTGACTGATGTTATGCAGTGGAGATCAACAGAATGGAGAGATAGCCCCATCACTGACTAGGACACTGTACAAAGTTACAAAAGTCTGGGTTCGAATCCACTAGTCAGATCCTCCCCAATTTGACACATACATAGCTTGCTAGAAAGTCAACGTAATAGCACAATATTTGCATATATGATAAGACATATTTGTACTGATACAAATACACCCACGCAAAACACACAATATGCTATATAATCATGTTCTCAAAGTAGTACGTATGCTGTGGGCATTCCTTGAAACGAATCTCATCCATACTGATTATCAAGGCCATGTAACAGTTTCCAGTTAATTGAATACAGCGGCCAAAATGATAGTAAACATGATCACATTTTCACTGCATGCAACAATAAACGATAAACTAATGGTAACAGATCAAGTGAAATTCCAATCAGCAAGTCGTAGTCCTCTAGAACTGTGCTCACCCAGAACAGCTCATGTTGTTCGTTTATATACACACAAAGTACATTCAGTTCAGTAATCAATCGGCTAAAAAGGCAACGGTTACGTATTAATACTTAATACCAAAGAATGACCCCTCACTGAAAACAAAATATGTCAAAGCGTAGCCTATTGTTAGTTGTTCCATAAGATACTGGTTGATGAAGAAAAACTGGCATTTGATTTTTGCAGTGCCTTGATTCAGTACATGATATTAGTGTATGTTTGAACACACATAAGGCTCTAATCATCTAAGATAAGGATGACTGTCGTATTTCTTTGGAAAGACGGAAGCGCCCGAAGATGCGCCTTAGAACTTCACAGTTGAGCTTTCAAGTGGCACATGTGAATCTAATTGTTGGTAACCATCTTCTAACCAAGTAACGTTTGAGGTTTAATGGCAGAATACAGCAATTACCTTGGTTAAAAAAGAAAGTCAGAGCGGCAAAAGGAAAGTTAATTTGTTCTAAACAGAATAAATCTGATGCAAACTATTAAATGTCTTCGATGTAGCAATATTCGTGATATATCGAAAGTAGGTTCTAATTTCATAGATTTGGTTGGTAAAGTTGCCTTGAACATTTTAGATCAAACTTTGATATTGTCTTTGACATTTTCAGCTTCCTTGATCACTGTTAACAGTAAAATATTTCATCGTCTAAAAAAGAGCAAGGATATTTCAGAATGTCAAATCGTGTGGAATAACATCGTGCAGTACAATGTGAACAGCATTTACAAAAGAATCATTGTGACACGTTTACTTTCTTTGCTTCTGGCATGAAGTTTCATGAAATGAAATGACAAGGATGAATTGTGTTCAATATTCTACAGAATTGTACCATGTGTCATAGACTCAAGACAAATAACCATCAAACTGCTGAAATTAGTCCTAAGAACTTTCTATTAGTTTTGGTGTTCAATCATGCAGGTAACTTGAGCAGTGTCCTGGATCCTCATGGTACATATCTTGAGATATCAGCAGTGGGAAGTCGGGGCAAAAGACTTGTGATTCTTGTTGATGCGAAGCCTGCATCGACCTATCAAAGAATGGATATACCTAAAAGCCCCTCTAGAGGCAACAAAAGAATCTCCCTTGAACCTACAATATAGGCTTGGAAGACTATTTATACAGATAGAACTGACCATCAGCAAATATTTTTACAAGCGCATATATAAAGCCTTATCTTACACGCATTTGTACAAAAATAGGTTCTCATCATCTACCGAATCTGGCCTCCACAGCTAACCATGTATGTAAACTCTCAAAATAGTTCATTTTCACTGCGAGATAGTCATAGCACATGTTTCCGGTCCTAACCGGATGAGCTTCACGTGAGTTGGTTCAGCTTTGGTAGGAATAAACAAACCTGGGGTCACAGATGATTTGTGTTTAATTATAAGGCACTTAATAGGGAGCAGGTTGCTCTCCTTTGATTGAGATGTATCGATCAAATGCCCTCCAGATGAGTGATCGTCTTTTATGTCATTTTCTGGCACTTCCGGTACACAAACACTTATCCCCTCACTCACAACACGACTGCGTACTCTCTTGCAGAACATGTACAAAGTTATAGCAAGTCTTCCTGTCATGCGTACACTTCCTTTCCGCCAACTGAATTGTGTCCGTAGCCCGTCAGTGGCATGAACTGAAGGCCGTTATCCGTTATCTCCTTGTCTCGTTTTTTCGTGGGTTTCTTTGATCCAAAGCATCTCACAGCAAATCGGAATTCTTCAGCCATTTCGGAGCAAAGTGTTTGCTAAAATGAACAATAAAATGAAATCAGCGAGGCCTTCAGAAACTAACAGTTGGTCACATATCATGGAAGTGCTTAAAAACACGTTCAAGGCAACATTCTGCTGAGTTGTCCAAATTACAACGGAGCACTCATCGTACGTCTCTCGAGATTGGATTGTTTTTACCTCAGCAGATATCGATTGAATTCTTATCATGTTTCCCTGAGGTTGTGGTACAAGAACATCAATTTATTCTCAAATCTTTCCTTTCAATTTCGTAGATATTGAGATGGAATATGTTGCATGGAAGACATATAATGTCTAAAAATCCTCTCGGGGATCTGTTGTTTTCATAACAATGTCGTTCAGGCTATGATACTGATCACTCTTGTATAAAACGAAAGGTCTAGAGACTTGCTTTAACTGAATACAGCCGAACATTGACGAGTTCCTCCATGGAGCTATTATGCTACACACTTTAGCATTTTTATGTAATGACATTTTCCTATGATGGCAATGCTCCATTAACGTTTCGAGAAATGACTGTTATTTACTGAGGACATACTGTGCTGCAAGAGGCTCTAAGTGTGAATAGAAAGTAAATGTTTTTTGGCGATTTTAAAAAAAGATACATGAAGCTGTTAGTAAAGTGAGATGTCGCTCTGGGAATAACATCCCTTGAACACGCATGAGATTCAAGGAAGTATATTTGTTTGAATCCTAGAGTGTGTAATTGCCTGGATGACATCTAACCTATAAAACCAAAAGAGATGAAAGAAGATACTTTCTTTTGAAGGTTTTTAATGAACACAAAAAGGAATAATTGTTTGCGAACTATTCCCACGTGTTTTTAGGATAAGTGACTCACGACTCTACAACTGTCTGAACGTATTCTAGATGTGGAGGAAAAACGGGAACTTTTCTTGAAGAAAACCCTTTCAACTACTTAGATAACCATACATGTTTCAGTACCAGATGTGTTTCAGGTAACGTTTAGCAGCATCAATGACGTCACTGGGGCACCTTACCATCACGTGGTATCACGATAATGTTCTGATAATGTCGACAGCGCTAAAATCAGCACTTTCAGCAAGACGAAGCCCTAAATATAATCAGTGCATTGCCTCAGACAGATTGTAAGGAGCTCACAGTCCATTTTTTTGTCTCACTGATTTGTATGACGCCACAAAAACGTTTCCGTGAACGACATCAAAACGCCTTCTTTAGTTTAATAGAATTCCGTTTCCATTCATTAAAAGAAATATCCGTCCATTTGGGAATTTAATTGTCAAATGAAACTTGAGGCAAATTAAATATCACTTGCGAAAAATGACATGACACTCCCTCCCTTGGCATGTCACATGCAATAGCAACATCTATTGGCATGGCGCTTATGGGTTTGACAACAGTGAAACCTCACTAATTTGGATGGTGCAGTTCCCGGTAAATACGTCCGTTATTACGAGTGTCCGGATTATGAAACACACATATCCTGTATGTGTATATATAAGTAAATACTCGTATTGACGAGTTTCAGGATAAGAAAAATATATGTAACGTTCAATATGTGTAATTATCAGTAATCGACCCTATTAACGATTATCCAGATTAACAAATATATGTCTGAATGACTGACTGAGTATGGTTTTACGTCGTTTTTCGGCGTGACGAGCGAACGCTTTAACCACTAGGCTACCCCACCGCCACAACAAATATATGTTACGTCATATATGTATGTATGACTATGTCTGTAATCGTCCATATTAACAAGCGTCCGGATTTAAAAAAATATATATATGCTCCAACTCACCTGGTCCTTCCTGGCATTCTTTCTGGCCTTCCATATAAACTCACAGAGGGAGATGATGAACCCTGCCCCAACACCTCCCATGAGCACTACAAACACGCCACCCACGTTTGCCACCCCAAGTTCAGCTGCCTTGTTCTTTTGGTTGGAGCTCTTCTCAGCCACACACTTGCCGCCACCATTCTTCTCCTTCCACCATCGATCGTGAATAGTGTGGATAAACTGCTCCTCCTGAAGCTTGAGAATCGTCTCCGTGATGGCGTCTCTATATGGGGACTCTGGAACACAAGGACAGGGAAATGAATGTGTGATAAATATTTCATGACAAGTCTAAAACAACGACTCGTCCATCAAGTTTCTTTGGACGCTGTTCTGATGTCTCCAATACCGAGCAAAATACGTTAACGAACACGTGAGTGTTAGAAAAAAGGAAAAAAACGATAGAATCTTATCCTTATATTTTTGCAGAATTTGTATTTGAAATGATATCAATGGAAAGATATTTATGACCAATTCCACCATTTAATTCTTTAATTGTTTGATAATAGACAGATATACTAATAAGGAGAAACTTTGAATGGCCAAACCAACATAAAGTTTGGAGATTCTGTTCTAACAACGAGTATCGAATCTTAATATTGAAAGATATGCATTCCATACCAATGTCCATGCACTTACTATTCCATGTATGGTATTGAAACTATCATTTGACTACAGTTTATGCATATATGTACAACACAGAATCTAAAGTATAAGTAGTTCTACAGAAAATGCATTCTGATAGTTGGGTTTACATTAGATGTATTTGATATGTGTCTTGTGGACGTACCCGGTGGTGTTGCTATGCCGTATCCCTTGGAGTCGAGGAGGCCGCCCACCTGCATCAACTCGCAGTTCCTTTGAATGTTATATTCTACCGACGTGGATTCGCCGAGGTAGGCGTATCCCCCTGCTAATACTCGGTTCACACCCTCGGCACCGTCTTTCACAAACACATTTTCCTCGGATGTATTCATGGAATTCCACATTCTTTTGAATGTTTCAATTTTGGAATTCTGCAAGAAAAAGAATGATAAACTGATGCATGGGATTTTACGTAATGTCATGTGCAATTATGCACAAAAAAATGCAAATGCGAAATATTTTCATATTTACAAATTATCTTACTAGAATCAAACACAAAAAATGTTTATGGCTTAAAGGACCGATATAAAAATGTGGTAAAGTAAAGAATTACGATTGAAAGATAATGCTCTCATTTTGAGGACAGTGATGCAGATTGAGACGGAGATGAAGTAGCGCACGATGCTGGCGTACCTGGAAGAACGCCATAGTGGAACCTCCCTCCAGTGTGCCGTATTTGATGACAGTTTGCTTGACGAGATCTTCGGCGCTTTCTATGGGAGAGATCATTCTCTCCACTGTGAGGAAAGCAGCCAGGTTGGCGGTGTAGGAGGAGATCATGATGAGGGTGAAGAACCACCACATTCCTGCCACAAGACGGGTGGAGATGGCTCGAGGAGCTATCTCACAGCCTGGGGATAGATGAACACTGACATTAACATAAGGTTTTCACATTACATACAGTTCACAGAAAATACTGTATTATATGAATTAGATAATAGAGTATTTTCATTATTAATAAAATAATTTCTCACGTTGTAATTATTATCTCGAATGACTTTGAAATTTACCTTGCTGCATAAGAGAACCAATAGTGAACCAGAGACTGTTGAGGATGGTGAACTGGTTCTCCACTACATCTGCATCCGGGTTGCAGGGATGAGGGTTGCACCATTCGTAGGGACTGAACCTTGCTATGACGAAGAGCATGAAGCTGACGCAGAGGTAGGCTGCGATCATGTACACCCACACCTCTACTGACAGCGGTGACAGGAAGGAAAACAGCTGAGGAGCCTTGGGGGTTGGCTTCTTGTATAAGATCGTAATACCCAAGGTGATGAAAGGCTTCGTGAAGTCGATGACCTGTTCTCGTCCGTGGGTGATGGACATTCCACCAAGTCCAAGGTCTGCTTTCTAAATGCCAGAAAACAATGTTTTATGTTTTTTATTTATATTCTTTATCTTAAAGAACGGTTTTTATGTTCAATGATAGGAGCAATTCCTGCCCCCCGGGTATTCATGGTTGGAAGAGGTCCACAACGACCCATGTTTGGCGTATGATCCCAAATTGGTTGTCTGGTTTAAAGACGTGGTGAATTTCGGGTCATCGTACCTGGCAGCGTTAGAGGCAGCTCATAATATCTTCATTAAGGCTAGAACTGACTTTATTATTGAAATGCACCTCGACTTTAGCCAGAACATTGCTGAATGTGACAAGTAGTTGAATGTAGGGAAAACGTTTATATAAAACCATTGAACTGACCCAAAAATAACCGACATAAAAAGTCGTATTGTCTTGCAGTACCCAGAAGAAAGAAAATTCTTTCAAATCTAAATTCAGTCATATCTAATATCTTCTATTCCGTTTTGCGTCTTTGAAAGCAATAAATGAAGTCACTTCAATAGAAAAAAGAATTACTTGAAGTCTTGTATCTTCACTTTGTGAAAAAGGATCCACAAACCAAACACTTAACATGGTTTATTGGATACGAAATGGGAAACAGTTCAGCTACCTCATAAACACTTGTCACACATTGAACATATTCAACTTTTAATATTTAACTCACTCTGTCAATGAGTTCTCTGACAATGCCAGACCATTCTCCATTCTTCAACTTGCCGTAGGTGCTAACGACCCTGATGGTGTAGTTGAATTGCCGTCTTTTGGAGATTTCGTCCAGCAGATCCACACAGAAGCCTTCGTAAGTGATTTTGCCATCTAAGTGCTTCACCTCCATCACATACGGAGCTTCCTAATATCACAAAATTGGACCATTAGTAATACACCACACACATGTGGAATAGACTGCTTCTCTGTTATCACTATCATCAATCAAACACCAACGGTGAATTCAGTATTATGGGTGTTGTTAATCCAAAGGTTTAGCCACAGGGGATTATACGTACGTAGAAACTTTAAATTGTTTTAGATTTTTAAAACTATCAAAAATGGTGAAGTTTCGCCAAGTGAAAAATGTCATTTTTTTAAAACGACAATGACATTAAAGCACTGCTGTGCATCCATATCTACGACAAAGAAGGCGGACTGACCAGGTTTAACCAATATAATGTACAATATATTATACTGCAACATAGCGTTCAAACACTAATGGTTCATAAACTTTGTGTGAAAAACAATCTGACAACAGTACAACACAAACAGTCACAAATATAATGTTTTGTTAGTTGATATCCTGTGGAACGTCATACATATGTGTTATCTGAAGCCGATTTTGGTTATGCAAGGGTATACTTACCACCACGGCTACTACTTCCAATGTAGTGTTTTTAAGAGAACTTTCAACTTCTTTCCTGCGTTCGTCATCAGTTTTCGTCATATTAACACCGATGTGCCTGTTCCATGTGCCAACCTACAACGCAAGTCATCAGTCTGAGCGAAGGATATAATGATAGGTCGTTATAAATAAATATGAGAAGGGCCTCGAATGTAACATCTCTGATTATGCGGTATATAGATACATAAAATCTGAGGTCCTCAAAAGCTTGTTAATACCTTAGTTCACTCTGGTTTGCAATTCATAATGAAGGCGGTTATTGAAACATTTAAGTAATGTTGGCACTCTTAGTAGCTTGGTACTTCTGAGATAGTAGTTTGAAAATGTTATGCGTTTCCCATTTAGTATAGGACCTTGTCTTGGGCAATAATCATGATAATTTCCTTGTCTTTATGATAATATTGAGTCACAATCGTTTCACAAGAGCGACTTATTGTAATTGAAACTACAGCAATATAAATATGACTCTTGATATATGCATAATGTTTTATACAACTTGATATCAGTACACTTTCTATACCTTACATGGGCACAAAACAGTTAATATTCACAATATGAATTTACAACAAGGGGTGTTTTCACCCTAATATACTAAACAAAAATGACATTGTTATGGAATTGTGAACCAACTCTTCACAACACAAATATCCCCGAAACTATTCATGATCCCTTACTTTCTTTAATGTGGTGACCTCAGTTATATATAGAAAAGCGTTAACATGACAAAAAACATATATATCACAGTAAACCAACAAAATTGAAATGAAACTACCAGAATCAGTTCGTATGTTTCTAGTTTTATTAGAGAAAGACATTAATTTACACAAATGTAACTCGACAAATGTAAAGCTGACAATTTAACAATACCTTCATAAGGCCTGTTAGTTTCAGCTCAAGTACGTCCAGGGTGAAGTCTCTGCGTTCCCCATTATCATAGCGGATCGGTCCTGATAGACCTTCAAAGTTCAGCTGCAAAAAAAAAGTATGTTCTTAACAGAAGCAGTAATATGCCCAAAGGAAGGGCAGAGGTAAGGTACAAAAAGCAAGGCTTATTACCACTCTTTTGAAGAAATAGTCACCATTTTTTAGTGACAAGTTGAGCGGGCAACCACTTTCTCAAACAGTCACCTTAAGGACACGAACATGTAATTGAACAATATTGATTTCTTTCTTCTAAAGTGGAGTTGTCCCCCTTTCAACACATGTAGCGGCTGTAGTTTGAGAAGATAAATAACCTTTGATTTTTCAGGTTCTTCATATAGCACTACTGAAAGAGCAATTGCATTTTTTACTTTAAACTACATATGGGCTTTGCTAATGTATCTGGTACAAGCAAACGAACAGGACGTTCGTGAGGAAAAAACCCGATTATTTGAAAGCGCAACTGTCTGTCCTTTTTCAAAGCATAGATGTAAGATACAGAGATATTTGTGTGTAAATAACTGGAGCTGAATATACAATTAGATACAGAAGAGAGTGAGTTAGATATATACAACTCCTGAAGGGGCTGCTTTTTCGATATCTCAGATCAACGCCTGCAAAGATAAAATCGGTAGTTAGCCGTCTGAATGTTCGATTTTCTTTACGATCTGTTGGAACGTTACATTCACTTGACTTTTGATCGTGAAACACACAACACTAGTTGAACATTTGTCGACAAAACAAAAGTGGATGGTGTTCAGTAATTATTTCTAAAAAGTAGAAAACGATAATGTTACGTCTTTCTTAACAGCACAAAACCTTGAATCCAGAGCACTGACTTAATGAAAGGAAGATAAGCTGTCATATATGACGGAATAGATGAAATGCAATTTTATAGACATGAAAATATGTCTTGACGATCACATTTTTTTAAAAATCGTTACGCTATTTCAAACATATTCCACTGAATTCTCGACATCAATCACGAAAATATACAGCAACGTCTAGACATATTGATCTCCAAACAAAATCTCGTCAGTATCTGCGACTGTTCTGTTCTGTCTATGTATGGTTAATGAACACGGGGTTTAGCATTTAATATTGCGAACGTTTGCTGCAATGGAAATTCGAGTGCTTGCGATGAATTGTATTCAACTCGAGCGGAATGCGATGCAAAATGAATTCTGATACTTCGTATGTTTACTTTTTTCCAAAACGACCATTTGTCAGTTTGAAAGACCTGCGTTGGTCTTGTTCAAACATGCACTTGACGAAACGATGACCCAATTCTCAAACACCTGGTGTCATCAGTGAGTTTCAGTGATCCATTCATTTGTCATCGCGGTTTTGTCCTTTATGCCCAATGGAATCTGTTTTGTGAGGGACGGTTTGGTAGCCTAGTAGTTAAAGTGTTCGTTCGTCACGCCGAAGACCCAGGTTTGATTCCCCACATGGGTACAATGTACGAAAACCATTTCTGGTGTCCCCCGCCGTGGTATTGCTGGAATATTGCTAAAGGCGGCGTAGAACCAATTTCAGTCACTCAATCAGGGATACTCGACTGGTTATTCTCTGCTGTTGACGTTTCCTATATTTAGTGTTACTGGCTTGATCAAAGTCATATAATTCAAAGCACATAATAATGAGATACTTGAAAATGCGAAACATTGTGCTTAAATTAGTAGACAATCCCTAGGTCATTTGAGAATAATACTAATCATAAGACTAATGATACATCGATTAGTCATCACGCGTCGTTGCATGTGAATACACGGTGTTAAAAACGTAGACAAAACAACATTATACGTCGATCATGAACAACCTGTAAAAGAATCGAGACAAAAACAGCAAGGTTTCAGTGACACACTAGGTCACAAACCAGAAGAATGTTGTTATAGGATATTTTAACCAACATTACAACTTTACATTTTTGTAAGTGAGGATTTTTTTATCTGAGGCATTTGCTGCCTCAGTCCTTATGTTCAGCGACGTGTAAAAGATACATACTGCGTACTTCAGAACGTCAACATCGACGGAAGCTTGTTTTGAGAATAGCAAATCTTCATGAAAGCATGATGGAAACATGACCATATCTCTGGTGAAGCAATCAGTGGAACTGTGTGTGTTTATCTAATAATATTGTGAAGTTTAAGTCCATGCAGTTCTCTGTCAACATACACATATTGCACACATTTTGACGCATAGACGTCATAACAAATATAAAGTAAGATTATTTGTTGTACGTAATGGGGTAGGTAAAAACTGGACACAAATACATTTGCGAAGAGTGTGAACTGCCTCGAGGTATATTAGCACCTCGTCCATCAAGAGAAAAACACACCATGTCACAAGAGCGTAAAGCTCCGAAGCCACAGGCGAAGTAGTTAAAATGAGTGTTTTGAAGAGCTGTAAACAGAAATTGGTTCAAATATGCATCCATGGAAGGAATGTGAATCAGTAAGAGGATATGTGTAGCCATGTATGTCAGTGTATGAAATAAGCCAGAAACCCAGCCAGACATCAGGGCTGGTAACTTCAAATTGTTACCAGTCCAAAATGGTTTTAACCAGACCAAACACCAAAATATGGTGAATTTACTCAAATATACGAATTTTGTAACCAGACCATCGGGTTGGCTAGCTGTAAATTTAGACCGTCCGTCAGAAATCTAGCCCGTCTCGGGCGGTCGGACGGGCCGTATTTCATACACTGTGTATGTATATGTACCAAGGTATGCTGCCTTGATGAGGCTACATCTGGTTTATTCTTCACCCGAACTTAATAACCATGTATTTTGTAAATGTGACAGTTACAAACCTAGAGTCAGTACTGTACCAATCCATGCATAGATAATGTGCCTTACAATTGTACCATACTGTCAGGAAAACGTGTATTTTGTAAATGTGGCAGTCACAAGCCTAGAGTCAGTACTGTACCAATCCATGCATAGATAATGTGCCTTACAATTGTACCATACTGTCAGGAAAACGTGTATTTTGTAAATGTGGCAGTCACAAGCCTAGAGTCAGTACTGTACCAATCCATGCATAGATAATGTGCCTTACAATTGTACCATACTGTCAGGAAAACGTGTATTTTGTAAATGTGGCAGTCACAAGCCTAGAGTCAGTACTGTACCAATCCATGCATAGATAATGTGCCTTACAATTGTACCATACTGTCAGGAAAACGTGTATTTTGTAAATGTGGCAATCACAAGCCTAGAGTCAGTACTGTACCAATCCATGCATAGATAATGTGCCTTACAATTGTACCATACTGTCAGGAAAACGTGTATTTTGTAAATGTGGCAGAAAGAAACATAAAGTTAGTACTGTAACAATCCATGCACATACGATGTCGTTTACAATTGCATTATACTGTAAGGAATTATACGTGTATTTTGTAAAAGGTTGAGTTACATATCTAGCGTCAGTACTGTACCAATCCATACATGGATGATGTGCCTTAATGCTGTACCATACTGTCGGGAAAACGTGTATTTTGTCAAAAGGTTCAATCACAAATATGGAGTCAGTACTGTACCATTCCATGCATGGATGATGTGCCTTAATGCTTTACAATACTGTCGGAAAACGTGTTTTTATGCAAATACATACCATTTATGAATATCATGCACACCTGAATGAGGAACTGGTCTGAGAAGGAGTATGTGCATTACACTAAAATCATGTTATGCAATAACAGGACAAAGTAAGCATGTATATAGTGCTTAAAGATATGATTAATTTATAGGTTGAGTGTGTAGTTTAAACCCATACTTTTATATCACCTACTAAATATGTTTTATAGTACATAACATGAACTTTCAAATGATGCCAATGCTACAAGCGCAAGAGAAATGGCCTTCAGTAATACTAAGAACGAGATAGCATGGTCATAAAAGCAATGAACTTGTGTGAAATATATACATATGTGTGTGCTGAAACATTCAAAATTACACAGAACAGTGGGTGCTAATAACCATAACACACCGCTTAATTAACATTCTAAGTACACCACAGCAGAATAAATGTCAATTTCAACATGATGTCATGCTTAGAATATAATCGGAAATCAAAAAGACTTGATGGTGTGATATTTCAGCTTCTGCATGCACAGCAAATGTCACTTAATAAAGTCATGGGGTATTGCTGTATTTGGAACATTAATTGTATTACATGTTATGAAACTGCTTGGATCATCAGTGCAGTGCTTTTTGACAAACCTCGTAATATGAATGACTTCTGGAATGCCTCTCAAACAGCTCAAACCTCGTAATTACGTAAACATTATAACTGTTTATATCAACTGATATAAAACTTCAGATATCTTTGAATATTTACCAAGACGATGATAAATGGCTATTTCCTTAACAAATATACTTACCGATTTCATGAAATTCAGTAAACTGTTTCCAAACTGGAATGTTTGTTTGGTATCGCAAGACAACACAGCCTTGGTCACGTCCTGGGCTTGTGACAACTCGTGGAGCGCCAGAGAGAACAGTTGGACGGCGTCGTAGGCAAGAGCAGTCTCCGTCTACAAAGACAACGTCGACAATAAGAAACCTGTATTGAGAAGACACCTTAAATACAACACGTACATCGAACCCGAAATATAACATGAATAACCGAACCTTTTGTACGTGGCACCCATAGCCTGGTCTAACCCGTCTGTGGCAAATAGTAGGCAGGCAGTTATTTCATAATTGCATATGTTCCCAAGCAACATTTATCTTTAGTTATTACTATGGCAGTGACCTCTCTTTAGTCACCTAAACCTGCGCATAATCATGGTACATTCTCACCATGAGATGTGTTCATGATTCATGAACACAGCAACAATGATTTGAACATTCATGAATGTTCCATGGCTTATATTATGTAATAGGGTGTAATAAGTGCTAGTGAAAAAGAGACATTTGATATACTTGCTTATGTACAGTCAATTACTCTGATCGATTGGTACTTACTGATACCAAATGAAATGATCACTGATAAATAATAGCCATCCTTGCTTAGTGGATAAAATGATAACATATCACGATAAGTGTTTTTTTACAAAGGTTAATTTTCAAGGATTTACTTGTACTAAGCAAAGGCATATATTTAATGTTGTTGATTTTATATTGACCTCTTCATGATCATGTACCAACATTTCGTACAGCTATACTTATAACGGGCAAATCTTCATTCTTACTGTCAAAAGGTAAAATGATATTCCTTGTTCATTGGTAACTCAATTCAACTAAAGCAGAAAAAGAGCAAAATTATATATATACAGGAAGAGAAAAAGACTACACTCTATGTAAATATACAGAGAAAAAGAATGACATTGATCACACAATAACAATGTACTGAAACAATATCCTGAAAATATACACTCCTCATCTACAATTGAAATCATATATACTAGCAAGAGTTCTAAGAGAGTACGTGGAATGAATCGAATACATCAAATGTAGTGCATATTTGTATGCCACAGTTGACTGCAGCATGTCTTGCAAATTGTGTACGTTTTCAAAATGAACAATAAAAAAGCTATTCAGTATAACGTAGATGCAAAGGAGAACCAAATTCAGTTATCGTCTTACCGTAAAGATGATACCAATCCTGGCCTGAGGAAATACGAATACTCTCTTCTTCAAACAATAACATATCCCAATTGACACAGTTTTGAATCAATAGCTCAAATTTTCTTTTGAGAATGATATGCAAAGATATAACATCTTCTACGACACATTCATGCATAACTTATAAATACAGCAACTTAACTTCTAAACCGAACGGCAACAACAGTTACACAAAAACAACGATGACGTACCGCTACATCGTCTGTGATATTTCCCTGGTGGAGCGCAATAAAGAAGGTAAAGAACGTACACTACACCATTATTGATGTGTATCACTCGTCTTGTTCGTGAGTGTTCGTGACGTTAGTGGTAGCGAACCACCGCTGCAGTCGTGAGGCAGATATCTGCCTATTGCGTATTTTGTTGAAATCAAACTTTGGATTCATCAACTTAAATTCAAGTCTTCTTGAACCAGACAACATGTCTGGGTGTCATGAGTAAATTCTGTTCCTCTGATAAGAGGGACAACAGTGTTAAAGAAACATCAAATCTGACATATGGTCATTGAGATGACTATGGTGAAGCTCACAGATTATTCTGGTATTTGGGCAAACTTCAATTAGTGCCAAGTTTATGTGTCCACGGTAACAGTTGGACTATAATTGGATCAAAATGAATACAAATTAAAACTTCACTGTCTGTGGAATGTTTACCGAAAACTTGGAAATGTCTGAACTTGGATCAAATTAGCCAATACGCGAAACGATTCTGACTCTCAAGCGCTCCCAACAGGACATTAAATGGAAAAAGGCCAAGTATACTAGACGTGGGCCCAAACATACCTGAATCTCAGAGTAGCCTTTGAGTGGGGAATCCCCCGATCTCCTTGCCTTGTACAACCAATCAGTTCGAACGTTGATCACTTCAGGCCGATCAGGATCGATAAGTCTGAGAGATGTAATGTTGGCGCCATCGTGCTTGTAGTCTTCCAGATCTACTAGACCAAGATCCTGCAGAAATGGGAGCATTTACTACATTGGTCATGCTGTGTGCTATCTTACATAAAAGCAAATCCCTGTGTACATATAGTGTTGTAGGTGCTATATATAGGCATTCTTACTGGTAACTCTAAAGAGGACATATGGTGCAGAACACTGGAAAAATAGAATCAGATATACATTGTACTGAACAGAATACAAATTCAGAATTTGATATTTTTTCAAAGTTTCTTTCAAGTAATTCGACCACGTCGGTTCAGTTAGCATATTGGCTGTATATATACAGTGTTAGCCACAAAAACAAAAATACGCTTGCATAAGAAACTCTTGGATATATATCACAGAACGTGTTAGAAGTTAGAGCTATATTTATGTCCATAGGTAACGGTGTTGATATTTTGATTTATTTATGGACGTAGAACGTGATCTATTCTTGACCTTCTTCTCCAGTTATATTACTATTTACAGTTTAATGTTAGCATTTCCGTTTCAAAGAACGTATATTTTATTGATAAATAAGCTTATATCGCTGTTTTTCAAAACTAACACATGAATCGTGTGGTTTTATTACCCTCTTTTGACTATCATCGTGATAAACCGAGTCTGAGGCGTTCTTGAGGAAACAGAAAATACATCCTACTTTTTTTTTGTTGTTGATGTTTTTCAAAAAGCAATTTCGAAGAAATTTTGAACTCATCTTGAAAATGTCATGAAGGTATCATAAATGGCTTTTTTTGTCGGAAGCTGAAATGGATTCAAATTCCAAGGATCCTCTTGTGTGATGCAATTGACATCCTACTAGTTCTTCCAATTCTAAAATCGATGAATATTGTTAGATTACGACGAAAATAGTGTTTCCGTGCATGTCGACCTCCACCCTCATTCCTCGAACTATGATGACAAATGGCGTTACAATGAATATTGTATTTACACATAAATTGTTGTGGTGCTGATAGTTCTTTTTGCAAAACCACGTTCATGTTTTGAACTCGATGTTACATTCAAAATATTGAGATACTGGAAGTTTATCTTTATAATGGAATACTTTCGTGTGTCTTTTGTCCCAAAAGACAGATATGTACATTTTCCAGGAACCCTAGGGCGTCGGGCTGACTACGTCATGCTGTACCTCAATTATTCATGAATAGTGCATATTGAATGAAGAAGACTAACACATATTATTCGTCAGATTGTCATCTGATTGTGTTCACTGTAACCATGCCATAGTTATACGTATTGATTCATGGGCGACAGCAAGCTATAAAGACGCAAATATTGTGTTGATATGTAGTTTCTTACAAATGATTAGTTCACTTAAATAACGATGCATGCGCGAATGTTTGAGCTTCTTGCACTGCCTGCACTTCCGGTTTTATAGTGCTGTAGTCAAACATCAAACACATGACCCTGAGAATAACTTGAACATTCTGAATACCTAATACCAGCAAGGTCAATCATAAGTACCATATTTTGACGAGTTTTGGTGTGACCCTGCCAAGGAATCGAACCACTCTCTGGACAGACGTTTTTTCCCACTGTACCACGGAATCAAGGCTGGTATAGAGTGAGACGACTATTTCGGGATCAATCTCTTAACTTACCAGAGTTGTGAAGAAGTAGTGATAGTACTGGGATAACATCTGCACTTTCAGCGCCTGAAATGTAAAATGAACAGTCAGACTTCTCTGAGGGTAATCTCTACTAAAAGACAACCTACTGAAACGCACATTCATATTACGAATATCTACATAGTACATCAGGTGGACTGAAGGTGATTGGGTGATCGTAATCAGCAGGCTGAGCTCCTAAGAGTTTCCCCGGGCTTAATTTCATTTGACCTGGTTCCTAAAATGCCTTCGTTCACCAAGCAGCGAATGGGTATCAAGCGGGATGAAATGGTGCAATATTGTTAACCTTCTAGAACTTCTTGGGTTGTGTACTACCAAGGAAGAGAGAGCACACGACCCACTGACCGGTGTAGTAATATTGACTAGAGAACACCTTTCCTCTATAAATGCATTTTATTACAACATCATCAACACCAATATCCTGATAATCATTGTAGCGTGGAAATATCTGAGATGTTGAAGTAGCTTCTGTAGCCATAGCATATACATAGATTCCAATATGACAACACATACGAGAATATGTCTCTTAAAACGGTATATCCCACAATAAATAGATAAAACAAACCCACGTACAACATCCAGCAGGGGTACATTTGCTCCACAAGTCACAACTGTTCTCGCAGGACAGAAAGAACCCAGCTTTAATGTTTCGGTAGGGACTGTCTCAGTCCGGTATCAAAATATATTTGCGTTAACCCTTGTCTTAACCTGCGAATTGTAGACGCTTCTGGTTGCTACATGATCTGTGTCGTATCTTCAACTATCGTATGGCGTAGGCGTCCACTTTATGGACAAAATCATTTCCAAAAGTTCTTTTCAACGACAAATCTGTGTATGCACTATCAAAAAGCATGTGCACATAAGATGATTATTCAATTTGAACTTTCCACCCTCACATATCATTCACTATTATTATGTGGAATGTGTATACAATGGAATATATCCATGTATCAGTTCTTGCATATGGGCTGCATGCTTTGAACATAATAACCTGGACTGATATTGATGTAATGTATGGGGTGGTGGGGTAACCTAGTGGTTGAAGCGTTCGCTCGTCACGCTGAACACCAGGGTTCCATTCCGCACATGGGTGCAATGTGTGAAGCCCATTTCTGGGGTCCTCCGCCGTTATACTGGAATATTGCTAAAAGCGGTGGAAAACAAAACTCACTCGCTGATGTAATGTATAAATCAAGTGTTATCTCAGTTCTGAAAACACATATTTATCTTTAACCTTTCAATGCACAACAATGACACATAGCATTTTTTCGAAGTTCTAGTTGTGTAGACTCTTATACTCGGATCTAATTAGGTCTGGGTCCCTGGTATGTAGGTAACCATGAGCATTGGTCAGGACAGCAAGGCTGCCAAAGGCAATTTGAAATTGGCTATATCCTCTCTTCCTACCGCATGGAGAATTTTCTTGACACTTGTCAACTTGCAGTCGATGACCATTCGGAACTGCCCTTTCTCTTTGAGTTCTTTGAACATGTTCACGTAATCATTGTTGATCGGTTCCAGTTTTCGAACAGTTATTCGAGCTTTGCCCATTTCCGGTGCCTTAAGCACTTCCTGCAGGCGAGTCAGTCCTGGAATTAAAAAGGTGTCGTTAATTTTCTTCGAGGTAAATGATGCCACATGAATTACGTTGTGTGCAACTACTGGAAGAGATATACGTATAAACATTCTGCACACGGATATTTGAATATCAAAATCACCTGCGTCTTCCACAGAACGACAGCAGGATGAAATGTGAAGAAGTGACTTCACGATGTGTACACCATATCTATGCATTATAAAGACATGATGTTAATGTTAATGTGTTCTTAAGTTATGATAACTTCCCTTTGGGAACATTTAACCAAACGGAGATCTTTTTATGTACTGATACCTTTTAGGTATTATCTAAATTCATCTTTTGAATCCAAAATACCTAATAAAATCATAATGTTCACCCAGAGTAAGCAAGTCATACCACTTATATGATATCTCATGTTGATTTAAATACAGAAGAAAATAAATAAAAAGAAAATATTGGCGATAGATACTACTGTACATGACAACGTACTGGACGAAAGGGTCCTTTGGGTAGCCTAGTGGTTGAAGCGTTGGCTTGTCACGCCGAAGACCCGGGTTCGATTCCCCACATGGGAACAATGTGTGAAGCCCATTTCTCGTGTCCCCCGCCGTGATATTGCTGGAATATTGCTAAAAGCGGCGTAAAACCATACTCACCCACTGGACAAAACATAAACAGTATATACTGGAACAAATCTTCACGATGAGAGTGAAATAGGACAAAAGGGAAATCTTCGCACAACTGGACTTAAGTGGACCTGAAACTATTCCTTTCGAAAAATCGTTCCCATATTCACCTTCATTGTTCTCATACAAGAGGGTGAACTTGCTCCAACCCCAGTACCGCACCATGTCTCTGTAGGCCTGGCTCAAGGTCAGATAGTGCGGGAACAGACTGATTGAGTAGTAATCACGTGTGTCTCGAGGGTCCCAGTGCCACTGTAGGTGTGGAATCTCGAATGCATTGCACATGGATTGCACATGCGCAGAAGAGAGTGATGACACCGGACCAAAGATGCCAACGATTCCTTTTCCTACCATCTGGCATACTGAAATGACAAAGTAACACGTTCACAGATTAAGTGGCACAGTGATACACACAAATAAATTGCATTTAAAAAAATTGATACTAACTTTTTCAATTGAACGTGAGGTAATACAAAAAACAATATGACTGATAGGCTGCCATCTTGGCCAATTCCCCTAACCCCCCAAAAAAGAAGAAAAAATGATGTAAATATTATTCAATATTTCAACCAAAGTATCTTAGTCGAAGACAAGAATTTGACAAGCGATACAATTACGTTAATTGGTAGCTTAGGATGCCATGCGTTAACCTTTTCGTTGTTTGTCCTACTCTGTAACAAGAACATTTAGGTAGTATATGTCTGCTTGTCTATTGTACTCCCCTTTGAAATGGCATTGTGGCCTACGGCATAATGAATGTATTTACATCAAGACTTAACGCAGGTTTTCGGACACGCATTGTCGAAAGTATGTTTGTGCCATTGTTGGAATGTATATTGTGAAAATACCATCCCACCGTGCAATACAAATATATTCCATCCAATAACCATATTGGTATGATGCAGTAGAGCCTCATAGAATTGTAGGTGCGCTTCAAGCAACGAAAATGACTGTTCCTTGCTTTTGAGTGGTTAACAAGTGGCAAGATCAATGCTGATGTTATGAATAGGCAAGTCGAAGGATGAGTTTTCAGATGTAATAGGACTTTGAATTTCCTTCTAATGTTTTCTTTCCCTTTTTTGTAATTGTCAGTTAGAAACCGGGCGTCTCATGCCGTAAGTGGTAGATGAGACGGCTGGAAAATTGAATGTTTAAAACATCGAATCGGCGTAAACATTCTTAATAGATTTTCAATGAAATTGATAAAAAAACGAGTAGTGTGATATGGAATGTTGAACCTTGTGATGACATAAAAGGTTGCCTTTTTGAACCCTGTCTCAGTCTCTGAAGACGTCTGGGCTTCGGAACTTTGAGCTCCAAGGATAAGAAAAAATAGATAACTGCTCGAACAACTTTGACGTTTTGCTTACACTGTCAGAATATTGTGCTGCAAGGTAAAGAACCACGTTTATAAGGAAACATCTTGAGGCGAAAGAGAGAAAGTCAATTACGAGATATCTCCAACTTGTGTCTGCCGCTCTGTGGTCGAGCCGGGAAAAAAGTGAGCTTGTCACCAGTAACTGACAAGCCTGTTGACGGGTTGCTGGGGGCAACGCCGCGAAAAAAGATCCTCAAAGATATGTATCACAAAAGCAGTTTCACAAACTTGTAAACCTCAACGGTATCTGTTCAACATATTCGTAAAATGTCGGACATACAAAACGTACAAAAGATTACCATTTGAAGTTTCTAGTAATTGCTTTTCGGTGCTGAGGTATATGTGCTATGATAAGACAGATGGACTTATGACATTTTGATAGGCTATTTTCTAACACACCCAATTAGGATTTTCTGCTTCAGGGGACCCTGCGAACCAGATTACATAAATTGTAGGTCCGCTTGTAAACATCGTCTATTCAATTGAATGCCATTCCGCAGAATCTGCAATATTTATGCACTTGACTTAAATATGATTGTTGACACAAATTATATATATTGCAATACGTGTGTACGTATATATATATATATATATAAGCTTGCACAAACGTGTATGGATGTGTACACTGCAGCGTAGAAGTATATTATTTTCATGTCTTATTGCACTAACTGAGTGTTATGTTAGTGTAATTTCGTAAACATACCGTATCAATTCCGCAAGCGTATGCCGTTAATTTCTGAAACGCCAACTTACAGCGTTACCTCCGCAGACGTACCGCGTTAATTCCGCAAAGTTACCGCGTTACCTCCGCAGATGTACCGCGTTAATTCCGTAATCTTACTGCGTTAATTCTGCAAACTTACCGCGTTATCTCCGCAGATGTACCGCGTTAATTCCGTAATCTTACTGTGTTAATTCCGCAAACTTACCGCGTATAAGCTTACTTCGTTTTTTTCGCTGACGTATTGCGTTCCATTTATTTTCGCAAAGAATCGTGTTCATTGAGCAACCGCAACGGGATACCTGCTCTAACGTACGTATTATTTGCGCAACAACACAGCAGTGCTTTCCGCTAACGCATTATGGGGAACAGGCGATTATTTATGAGCGGGGCTTATTTCCACAAAGCGACCGGAGCGCTGCGTCCATCGTCTACGTTTGAATGTGGCATTGACGACCACAGCGCTATGATCACTGTGTCCAACTGGGTCAGTACTGTACTTAATTTGAAATTAACTTGAAATGAAATTGTCTCCATTTACACACAAATTTCTATTCCGTGTGAAAGAAAAAGTATCATATAATTTAGCATTCGAACTGAAACGTTACATTTTGAAAAGTTCTTTGTTATGTGATTCTGAAGTAATAAAGTAATGACCACGTACTATCTTTAGCTTTAGTAATAATAAGTAATATATAAATGAGTATATACTCTTCACATTTTCAGTAATTGAAAGTATTAAAGGCAGGTAGTTTATATGTTATCATCATAAATGTAATGGGATACTTAACATTATAGATAGTATTTGAAATGATTATATTTAATATAATCACGAATATATTGGCTAAATATACATATACTGACGTGTTAGGGGGAGACAGCTGGGGTTTGTGAAGAAAGTATTAATTTGAACATGAACCATTCGTTGACATTTTCGAGAGTTCTGATAAGACGAGATGCATGTTTAGCATAACTCCCTTGGTGTCAATTTCGTTATGACCAATCCCATTTCCATTTTCAACAGTTATGCAATTCAGTTCCTTTGCTGAATGGTTAGATATAGCGATTGCGTTATATTAAAGTTGATTGTATTTTTTTTCAGCACCGAACTCCGGTATACCTTACATATTTAGCATATGGTGATCATTCATACGTGACCGTTTAATGAACTGTATTGTAAGGAGTGAAGATAAACACTGAGTCATAGATGTCAAAGCATAATTTTAAACTCAAATCGATATCGTGGTCATATGTTTTAAACATATTCCATTCATCAGTACAGCTATGAAAGTGTTAAACTGATCCCAGCGGCTGGCGATTATGTGGGCGGTTCTCCGTAGATGGATTCTGTCTCAACATAAACCATTGGCATATGATGTTGAAATGCCATTGCTTTTCATTGTATTCAATAATCGGGATTCCAGTATATGAAACCCGTCTATATGTGGGCTTGCCATTTGTGAACGGTCTGTAAAGGACAAGCGGCGTTGGTGATATTTTAATGTAATTAACATTAGACACACACCGTAGGCTGCAATCTGTATTTGATAAACGCCAGATGGTGGTAGAAATTGATTTGATGTTACAGTGACAGAAAACAGGCTGTCTGCAAAACAAGCAATGATAGTTCACATTACACTGTACATCTATCGATCAAAATAAACTGCCTCCGTCTTGTACCTGCATTTTTATCAGCTGGGACCTAACTGTGTTCTGGTGGAAATGACTTAGGGAAGCTTGTAGCGTTAGAATATTGCGCCAACGTGAATTGTGAAGTAACAAAGATGGGTATTTGGATTCCTCGTTCGGAATAGATAGGCAGTGAACGTATTCATGTCTACGAGAATGGTGACTCTGTTGGCGTATTCCTATTCTGATATTAAACATTCTTTGAGGATGTCAAAGTGAAGGCATTTGAAACAGCCGTATAGTTGAGTCAACGTACGTGACGTTGGTGACTACCCGTACGCCTTTCACATACGTACATGTTCTAGTGATTAATTATGTCGTGAACAACCTATGTTTACAATAAGACAGTTGCAGATGAGTAAGGATGCTCCACTTTTCGCCGCTTTCAGCTTCACGGCATCTATTAAAAGCCGAGTGAACCCCAGGGAAATCTTTGATTGATATTGTGGACAACGATGTGGGCAAGATGACATGGACTCTAGCAGGTCGGCGCATGACGACATGGTCCATTTAGTCACCTCCCACGACAAACATAAGTTCCTGGGGGAGAGTTCTAAAACGGAGTGACAGTTTTCTTTCTTCTACAATACATTTAGATGACTTGTCCAATGTATATAATGAGATATGATTCCATTCGGTAACAATGAAAATACTTGACATGACCGCTGAAACCACCATAATCGTCAGAAATATCTATTGTACGATTCCGGCCATGTGTTAATAAATCAAAACATAATTATGCTAATATCAAGTTTCCAACTGACACGACGAGTGTATCTTGTGCTTATGGGACAGGAAACCGGGGGCAAACACACATTTCATTATATTAACTTATCTCTCAAAACAAACGACTAGGTAAGGATACTGATATTATATATATATATGTATGTGTGTGTGTGTGTTATTAATGAGCAGAGTGACACTCATCTGAGGACAGATGATAAACAGTTGCTGTTTGTGGGATGAAAACATTACAAAGCCATACCCAAGTGAGTGTGGTTAAAAAAAGGAAACACCAATAATTGTGTTTTGAATGAACATATACTGAGAAAATCAAGTAAAGGAACACGGGAAAATTCAAGCATTCCTTTAATATTTTCCAGTTTTTACCACCAGCTTTGAATAGCGCTGTGGGAGGAAATTTGAGAAATAGATAAAGGAACAAGTGGTGTTCCCTTATTGTTTCCCTCAGTATATTATCAAAACATAATACACCAAAGCAGGATCGATTATCCAAAGCAGTCTCGATTATCCAAATAAACAAATTCCCTTGACGGTGAAAGGTAAACAAATGCAGATATTTATATACATATACAGAACAGTTACTGAAACGGGTAAGTATATCCTGCCCTAACCGTAGCTATCATCACTCACACAATCAGCATACAAAATTAAGTATTCGTTATTTGTTTGACGCCAACACGCCATGCACTAGACCAACACGGCGGCGGCCTATAAACACTCCAAATGTATTACAAATATAGTAAATCATAGTTCAAGTTCATTATTTGTTACGCACCAGCTCCATTTTCTTCTTTGAAGATGCAAACACAATAATCTCCATTGCACGTGTATAACACATGTGCATGTTATTGAAAACGTCATCTCCATTTCAAGCACACAAATTTGACCTGACCAACATTTGTCACCATCCACATTCCAAATGCACAAGTAGTAGCATTGTTTAGTCGGAGCAGAGTAAAGGAGCTCAAGGATTTTTAATCTACACCTATGCAACAGCTGTACACTCGCACTTGGTTACACATGTAATGTATATGATTATGCATGGAAAAAATGCAATAAGTACTGAAACAATATGCGCATATGATCTGGTACGCTATAAATCAATCGTGTGATCTGTTACAATTGATGGTGCCATGTGTGTCCTGGTGCTATATCATGATGTTATTGTGAAGCCATGAACGTTGCTGAACGTCAATTGTGATTGGTATGTGTGTACGCACAAGGGTGCATGTGTGTGCGTATGAGAGGGCGTTTGTCTTTTACAACTGCTGTCAGGAATCCAAGACATGACATTACAATTCTGTGATTGACAGTATCAACAAAGATAAGTCCTGTTGAAGTGTATTGACAACCTTGCCTTCCAATCCAGTCCAGTAAATGGCCTTTTCATATCAGCATAGCTAACCCGCAACCCCAATGGGTTTCCCGTTTTGTCACCTCTTACGACTAGCAATGGGGTGCTGAGAACATATTTTACCCCCGTACTCCTATGGGGGATTGTTATGAATCATATTGGCATGTGTAAAGGCTATTCAAGGAAATATGTTGATATTAACGGACGTCAGTCTGTACTGATAACATTGAAACCATTGTTAACATGAATCTAATTTGATAACATATTTTTACAGGTTTATAGGTTATGTTGCTTTCAATGATTCATCAGACAAACTTCAATTTCTGGCTAGTTGAGAACCTTCGTACGAGCAGGGTCGATAAGGGTAGCCCAGTGGTTCCTGTTGCCAATTGTGACGAAGAAGACACGGAATCGACTCCCCACGACAGATTATGTTTGAAAAGCATTGGTTCTCCCCCGCCGTGATGTTGCTGGGCTATTACTCAGAGCCAAGAAAAAACGACACTCACTCACACATGAGAAAACATTGGAACTTAACGTATATTCAGAAAGTGAATTGGTGAAATTTGACCATGCTCTCTGCTAGGCGAAAGACGTGTTGGCGCCAATATTTTGGATCGCATCCTTTGAACTGTAAAGGTTTCCGAATAGTTCAGCAAGTCAAATTGGAATTCTGAAAGTTAATCGCACGCGCTGTCACCAACTTCTAGAAACTGCAATAACCACAATAAAGTCACATCAACTGTAAGTGGAAAAACTTGTCATTAAGTAAAATTTCTCGAAATGTAAATATTTGTAAGAAATCAATCAACACTAAAATTGTTACGTTAAAGCATCACAAAGTTATGTATACGCAAGCAGGCCTAAGCTAGATTCACGCCTCTCATGGACTGCATGGGTTTTCACGTGCCACTGGCATCACTGCACCGAAAAAAGAAAGGTTTATTATGTTGCTGATCTGTAGTACAGTATCGAGACGCTGAGAGTGCTCTCAATATATAGCTTCGTCAAAGGAACTGACTTTGTAGGATGAACACAGCGATTGCATGAATAAAAGTGTTGTCAGGCTAAGTGCATCGGGAACTAACAGACGAGGGTGGCTGTCTTGCAAATGAAAAGGGCCTATCAAACATGGCGTCTTGTTATCAGACGTAAGTGGACAGTTTTCCAGCCATTCTAAGTTCACGGAATGGGATCGATTTTTGGAGGACAGGCTAAGTTTCAAATGCCAGATATGTGTAGCAATTACACCCGAAATCTGTCAAAATTGAGGAATCAAGGCTATTCTTCTCTTGTATTGTGAGCATGTTGGAGTGAATGTTTCTAATGCATAATTGCAGTAATGATGAAGGTCCCCGCCGTATTCTGATAAAGCAATAAGGGTAATTCACTTAGATCCCTGGACCACGGTCATTGTCAGCTGGGATGAATGTGATCGGTTGTTTGCCCAATCTATAACCTTGTTCCTGGACCAACTATGGTCAAACAACATTCAGTGCAGCAGTGTAAACTGTACAAAGCCTGCTGGTCAAGAATATACAATTTGGAATTATGACGAGACCATGTTCAGGAAGGCTGGTATTATCTCTGCTCACACTTATCGATAGAGTAGGGAGTATCGATGTTTGAACAGTTGGGCTTGACCAATAACATTCCTTCCGTTAACAAAGCACATGTTTTGGAAAGAAACGGGATGTGCATGCCAGTTGAGATTGGTACCTATGACCAAACAATAGTGTTTGGGGGGCTAATTTTTGCAATACTCCAGCAATACTAGGGCAGAGGTTACCATAAACTTACTGTGTAATCATGTAGGGAATCGAACTTGGTCTTTGCTGTGATGAACCAACGCTTACTTTCTATGAGCTACCCCATATATATATATATATATATATATATAGAGATATAGAGAGAGAGAGAGAGAGAGAGAGAGAGAGAGAGAGAGAGAGAGAGAGAGAGAGAGAGAGAGAGAGAGAGAGAGAGAGAGAGGCTAGAATGAAAATGATTACATTGATGATTTGAAACTGACACAATGCAAAATATACGTTTCAGTGTATATAGACTGACTGACTGAGTTTAGTTTTACGCCGTTTTTAGCAATATTCCAGCAATATCACGGCGGGGGACATCAGAAATGGGCTTCACACATTGTGCCCATGTGGGGAATCGAACCCGGGTCTTCGGCGCGACGAGCCAACGCTTTAGCCACTAGGCTACCCCGCCGCCCCCAGTGTATATAGAAATCCGACCAGAAATGTGTCATAATTAATAATATGCATTCCAAAATCCCCAAGATTCTACCAGCTTCACAATATGAAGTTGCAGTTCAACATCTGCGAGGATACATTCGAGAATTACGTGATAATACATCAGAATGTTCTTGAGTTACTTGTGAAAACACGTACGACTCTAAGGTTATTGGTTAAGGCTTTGTAATAAAACATAATGGTTTTGTCACCAAGCTGTTTCATTTTTCTTGACATCATTACTTTCAATTGCAACACATAGAACTCAACATCCACCTCTATGTAACTAAAGAGCATATTGAAAAAGGACACTATTTATTGCATTGATTTCAGTGGTACAAGAACACCAACTTACATTAAACGAATTTGACAGTGTCCCTAAGGTGGGAGCATTGAGCTTACGAAAAGCCCTGTGAGCAATGAATGAGACATTGGGCTCACTTCCTTTACCTCCAGGACTTGCCACGTCTTGATTTACAGTTTCCCTGCCTTTAGTAAAATTGTCACATCGCATAAGAGGACAAGGCGCGAATTCTTCGATTTTATATTAGTCAAAGTTAAAAGCTTTTCCTCTTCAAGCTATTTCCTCATATTCGTAATCGCACCAATCACCTCCAAGCTAGAATCATCGATTATGGAAGACGTAACTGGATTCAAATCTTAAAATCATGGGCATCCTTTCCACCGTTTTTTTCGGGTAAATCGAGTCGACAGCTTGTCCAAACACTGGAGGGTAGCGATGGGACTACTGTAAATAGGTTCGGAAAAGACCAAAAGGGGGGAAGGGAATCGGTATTGGTTATCGGGGGCGGGCCTCTTGAAACCGGAGGTCGATGCCGCCATACAGGGCGCCCAGGCCCAGTGTAAACTGACACAATTGAGGAGTCGAGACAAGGGTCAAATAGTATTGATGATAAAATCTGGTGTGCAGGATGTGAAGAATAGCATGGAATACATGTATAACCAACTGCAGTGGTGCCAAGCATTTTCTATTATTACTGATCATGTTCGTGGGGGCATGAGTCGAAGGACAAGGTGACATTGGTGTCTGGTAGCCACACCAACTATATTGTATGGTTTCCGACAAGATAGGTTGTACCAAGATAGGTTGTTTTGTGATCTCGAAATATATATATATGGTAGAAACAAATATGTGTGTGTGTGTGTGTGTGTGTATGTGTGTGTGTGTGTGTGTGTGTGTGTGTGTGTGTGTGTGTGTGTGTGTGTGTGTGTGTGTGTGTGTGTGTGTGTGTGTGTGTGTGTGTGTGAGAGTGTGTGGACGGACGCAGAAGTCTCTAAGGAAGAGCAGCATAAACACTTACACAAACTAACAACCATCTTGGAAAGTCAATTTTAGGGTTGACCTTTACTGTCAATATAAAAAGCCTACAAGTTTTGAACACCTCGTAACAGGGTGACCTTATATCGACAATATTTAGGATTGTATGGACTTTGAAATGATTTGAAGATAACTTTCTGAAAAGAGTTCAAGTTTAACCGGATTCCATGGCGTAATCTCCTTGTTTCGGAAAAAGCAACACGGCATAAAATATACATAATCTTGAATGATATTGATAAAGGATAATGATTGGAAAGCCTCTTTTAATTTTAAATCTTATCATGTGTTTGAAAAATTAAGAAACAAAGCAATCTGAAATCCTCAAGAACTCTGTGGTGGCACTGGCAACTGTAGATGTCAGCAATGAACGAGGAAGCTTACCTTTTCTTTGAGCACTGAAGCTGTCCTGCTCCAAGACCTCTTGGTCGTCCACCACCACGATGGTGTTGCCAAGGACGTCGTTCCTGAGGTTGATCTTTTCTACAGCCCATTCAAACGCCTGGCGCTGGCCATCATGCTCCTTCTCAAACAGTGCGCCTGAAAACACGGAGCAGCCGGTTACAGAACTTGTTAAATGTAGACATTTCGACAGATACACTTTTCAGTATGATGGCTCTGACCCAACATATACCCATTCCTAGGATACCGATATAGTATGCTGGCTGTAAAGTGTATTTTTATGTTAACTGTCTGCTTGTCTAAACGTAATCACTACGGAAAGAAATATAGATGTATCTACATGTAGTTCTTTCGCGGATCATCTATAATTTTGACATAAAAGTAAGAGGAAATACAATATTTCAGCTTCCATCCTGCATTGAAGAACGAGTAAACAGTTCGGAGTTATGAGTGAATGAGTGAGTGAATTAGGTTTTACTCCGCAGCATCTCAGTAATATCATTTCAGGGGACACCAGAAATGGGCTGCACACATTGTACCTATGTGGTGATTCCTTGGGGTTATGAACGAACAGCCGGTGTCTGTGCATGCAATGTATATGCATTGTATTGTATTGCATTGTATTATTGTATTGTAGAACTATTGAACTAAGATGGAACAGTGTGATTGCTCTGTAGTTTAACAAGATCAGAAGTAATGTGGCTTCTGTCGGTAAAGGGAATTTCAAACACCATATATATCTTATATTTCTAACAGTGACACGAATCAAAGTACAATAGGACAACATTTTAGATGTTGAACTCATATCTAATTATAATAACAGTCGAACATCTCCTCGTTTCGTCGTGAAGTTCTTGAAGAAGGAAATGGGGTCAACTGATGTGGCAATAATTCTTTCTGCTTCGCGTTATCAGTGACTGACGATTCTTAGAGCTAAAGGTTCTAGACGTGAGCATTATCTACGATAAAGGATTGCAACAATAAATCATAATTAACGTCGGATGGAACAACGCTAGACAGATCTGCATGAATTTCAATAGATTTGCGTGATTATCTGTGCTAGGTGCATCTTTCGTTCATCCATTAATGGAAATTCTGAAATAAAACGAACCGTAATTGTAGTCAAAATGCTGATATACCTGCTGTTATTTCCTCTCAGTAATGTATCATAATAAACAAGAGTGTCATAAATCTGTATAAAGAGCTATATATATTCCTGGACTACAAAGAACTATACACATCATTTTAATCTGTTGTCTCGTAATGACTATTTACGATGAAAAACTGACCATAGACTGAACACAACACAAATCTCAGTGAAGGAGCTTTGTGGATTCTTTTGTGATAAAGATATCAAAAGAAGAAAAATATATCCATTCGACAAATTTGTACTGACGCAAGATTCATGGTTACCGTTTGAACAACGAAATGATTGCTTAGTAGAATTGATTAAAAACGCCACAAAGAAGCAAACTGGAATTATATTAGAGTAAATCAGTTGTAACAATAAGAAGTTAATCATATACACTTTCTATTTATATATGCACCTGTTTAGAGGATTACATGCAGAAATGATTTTGCTTATGATAAGAAATTGGCTAAAATTAATACTAACAACACGAAAAAGTATTTCATATCTAATATAATTAGTTAGACTGTGTGAACAGAAAAATGTATTGAATTAATTTAACGCAACATTCAGCTACATTTACCAAGAATTATTACTACAATTACATCATTGGTAACTGTATTGTATACGTTGGTAGTGCATAGATTGTAATTTACTCTATCAAAGACTACGAGTTTCACAAAGATTAAAACAGGAAAATACTTTGATTAACGAACGGTATAAAGAGAATAAACTACATATCATGTTGCTTTTCTCGTTCCGCACTAGTAACCAAACTTCCTACTTGCAGGATTAAAACTGTCTCAGATACCTTCGAGATCACCAAACGGAGATAATATATTTTACTGCAAACACATTATATACGCACAGCAATACGAATTGGTGATGATAAACAACTGGACTGGTACTATTTGATGTAAAATAAATGGTATTGCTTGACATGGGTTAGTACTTGAAGATCTGTCCAGAACAAGAATGGAGCACATCCTGGGCCTTCATCTTCACAAATCATTACTCACCAGTAAAACTTACCAGTGATCAAATAAGAATTTATCTTTTGTGGATTAACAATTTCTCAACAATATTGTACATTATACGAGGTCCAGTTGTTATGTTGTTGTACCATTTAGCAAGAGACCCCAAAAATGGGTTCATCTTTTGACGATATGCACACACTATGTCTGGTTGTAATTACTTTCAAACAAATAAGATCATTTGGTCTGGCATCTTCCATTATCAACGATCCATCACTTGTTTTTGTCAATGCTCAACGATGTCTATTTCAGACCCTAACGTCACATTGTCAGCGAAACACTCCAATTATGGGGTCAATGAGAGGTTAGCAAAAGCCAAGGTACTAATCTGAAATATCGATGTCATGAGCCATCAGTTGATCACCGTCACAATATAATGATAATGGTATGTAAAATAGGTATGATTAATGCATGTCGGTTGATCATTTAGTGAGCCCAGTGCCATGCCATGCCATGATAATCATTATTCCAAAACGTATATGAAGCATTATCGTCAAACACTGTTAATCCCTTTATTGATTTCACGGTGAATTATCCTTCAGAATACAGAGATTTCATTGCTTTTGGAAGAATAAATCCAACAACACAATGGGATTGGAAACTGTAACATATTAACTTCGGTATCACAATATTTACTTGCAGATAATTTCCTAAATTGAATTATGACAAAGTGACGTGCCTTTACGAACATGAAAATTTCCCTAACTAATAAAAGGCCAAGTAAATCTCGAGAGCAAACACCATAGCATTAAGTAGAAGTAGCGGGATGACTATAAGTCGGTGGTGTAGTCACTCATATTGATTTCGTGCCAACGACCGTTAATAAATATTCCACATGGACGCTTGTATATTAACAGTTTGGAGGAAAGGTTCGGGCAATGTCAGTGAGGGTGCTAAGTTATTGACGTGCCCTGATCCTCTGTCCTTCAATGTTCCTTGAAGTGGATACTTGTTCTCAGAATTAAGAGTCTTTCAAATCTCAGTTAATGCCTCCCTACGCTGTAATGAGTGCAGAATCTGTCCACTCATTTCATAACGTGTAGACGTCACCGCTACTGAAAAAGGTCATTGCGTTCTGACACTCGGGTCGACAACACGTATCTTCACTACTTACTGATGGCTGCCATTAGGACCTTAACTCAACTCTCACATTAGACTGGTGTGAAGTCCTTGCTTCTCATATATATATGGTTTCAACCTGGTCTGCTTATTATAGCACGACCACAAACAAAATCAAACCATGCATTGATGGAACCCATCATGTCTGTGGAAAATGGTAGCTCTTGGTAAATAAAAATCGCTGAAATGTCACTACCAACATACTCTAACCGAATCCTGTGAAATTGTGCGTACATGACAGAGAAAAGGGTAATCATCCCATGCGTTGTTAATATCGTTTTTAATTTACATACACAAACAAACATTGAACATTCTGACCACAGTATAATACTGTACAACACTCGAGAAAATACAATCAATATTAAAGTCTGGCTTCATTTTCAAGGCTACCGTTATAATTAAACATCCTCATCTGAGTCGAACATGCGAAGTTCAGCTTTATAGTAGTTTCATGTGTTTTGGCATTTCATGACGGCATCAATTTTACCGTTGGAGCTATCTTTATATATAACTCCCCGGTAAAGTAGCAGTGCATCTTTTCCTCCGAGACGTTTAGATATAATAAATGGATATCGTTTAGCCATACTGAACCCAAGGACTTTTCATTCCTGATGGTATCATCATTTTAATGTCTTTACTCTCGTTTGAGAATAGCGTCATATGAAGCTGCAGACTTTACAGCATTAGAACACAGAACACAGAGCACACAGTCCGAGGACACGGTGTCACTCAGAGACACAGTCAGAGGACACAGTTGTCACTCAGAGCACACAGTCAGAGGACACGGTGTCACTCAGAGACACAGTCAGAGGACACAGTTGTCACTCAGAGCACACAGTCAGAGGACACGGTGTTACTCAGAGACACAGTCAGAGGACACAGTTGTCACTCAGAGCACACAGTCAGAGGACACGGTGTCACTCAGAGACACAGTCAGAGGACACAGTTGTCACTCAGAGCACACAGTCAGAGGACACGGTGTCACTCAGAGACACAGTCAGAGGACGCAGTTGTCACTCAGAGCACACAGTCAGGGACACGGGTGTCACTCAGAGACACAGTCAGAGTGAGTGAGCGAGTTAGTTTTACGCTGCACTTAGCAATATTCCAGCTATATGGCGGCGGTCTGTAAATAATCGAGTCTGGAACCAGACAATCCAGGGATCAACAGCATGAACATCAATCTACGCAACTAGGGAGACACAGTCAGAGGACGCAGTTGTCACTCAGAGCACACAGTCAGAGGACACGGTTGTCATTTCGACTATGCCAGGGTATGCATTAGTAACCAGGATCCGCTGTTTGGAGTTTCGAATCCACGAGTTCTGGTAATGATCATTCGTCTGTTTGCGCCATACTAGTGTCGGAGAAATCTCCAAAATTTGAAAACATCCACGACTTGCGTCACTTCCGGTTTTCTTCCCAAAATATTTAAAACTGAAAATACTGTCCAAACAACTCTCTCGCACCCTCTGACACTCTAACGTCTAACGTCTAACGTTGTGAATAACAAACTAGGTTCTGTCTCGCTGTGTTGTGATGACTGATTAGTCCAGAATCCTACAGTGACATATGAAACTATGCGTGACATTGTCAATACAGCACCACATGTATATATTTGCAATTTTAGGTGTTGTATTCGTTTGTTTGCAGCAGTATCACAACCAAAGGAATCTCTCTAACAGGATGACAATTTGATATAGCATCCACGTTTCTCCCAGCATACGAGTGATGTACTTCTTTTGGCGCTTGCTGTGTTTTTAAAAAACATTTGATTGATGACTTACTTATCAAGCAGAACTCCTGCATTAGCTGTCTCCATGAAAACCATTTCTAGGGTGATTTCCCAACAGTAT